CAGAAGGTCAGGCAACCCTAGATCCACACTTCCACCTGGGCGTACTTGACGGGACTGAGTCACTGCTACCCTCTTTAGGTAGGACGTGCCTTGGCAGCTTGCCACAATCCCCACCACTCTCTACTACCCAGGTTTCCATGTTCACTACTCTTGCCTGCTTGCCTCTAGGGCTTTTTGAGTTTGGAAACTCTGCTTTCACAAATGTTGAGGTTTGATCAAATTGATGCAGTTAATTTTCAGTGATGGACTATTTGAAAAGGGAGGGACTGGTCTCTTCTCATTCCCTGTGATTGAATTCAGTTGATGTGTGCTTTGGAACAGCATGACCCAGGAGACTGCACCCCCTCCCTGAGCACATTACTGACAGTGCTGTTGGACAGGCACCCAGAGCGACATAGCACCCAGATCATTGCTTCAGGTGTAAGAGTCTTGCAGAGAAGTGACACACTGCAGCTCTGAGTCAGTGCGAGCCCTGGCACAGCAGTGCGTTGGTACAAAACATCATCATGCACCTGCAGCCAAGGGACTCTGAAACCGTGGAATAATATGTAGGCCCACAGACCCTTTCTGTCAGCAGTCCCCAACCTTTTTGGCACCAGGGACCAGTTTCATGGAAGACAATGTTTCCATGGACTGGAGGTAGGGGGATGGTTTTGGAATGATTCAAACACATTACATTTATTATGCACTTAATTTCTATATTGTTACATTGAATTAGATAATGAAATAATTCTACAACTCATTATAATGTAGAATCAGTGGGAGCCCTGAGCTTGTTTCTCTGCCACTAGGTGGTCTTATCTGGGGGTGATGGGAGACAGTGACAGATCATCAGGCATTAGATTCTCCTAAGGAGTGTGCAGCCTAGATGCCATGCATTTGCAGTTGACAATAGGGTTCCGACTCCTATGAGAATCCAGTGCCACGATCTGACAGGAGGCAGAGCTCAGGCGGTAATGCAAGTGATGGGGACCCATTATAAATACAGATGAAGCTTCTGCTTGCTCACGGGCCACTCGCCTCCTGCTGTGTGGCCTGGTTTCTAACAGCCCATGGACTGGTACTGGCCTGGGGGTTAGGGACCCCTGCTCTGCGTAGTGTTCTACCAAGAGCATGGCTGCCCTTGGAGAACAGTGACACCGGGGCCTCGTCATTTCAGGAGTGTTGCTCCCCCACAGTATAGACAGAATCAGAACGTCACAATAACTTACTGTACATAGACTTGCCAGGGCCTTTGGGAGCACTGCTGTCATATCCAGCACCTTTGTAACTTCAGGATAAAGCTGCATCTGCGGCTTTGTCACCTAACGTACTCTTATACATAGGACACTGTCACACCTAGCACCGTCCTGGAGCTTGTGTGATGTTTTTATATTTGTTTTAACAGTTAACTCCCATGGCCAGTCTACACACAGCGTTAATGCTACAATTAATGCTCTTTGGCTCTGTAAATACAAGACTAATCTGTCTGCCTCATCCCATACCAGCAGGTGAGCCTCAGATGATTCTTGTTTTCCATAGCTACAGACCCCAAAGATCAGGGTAAATATAACTCTATACGCATATTTAAAAAAAAAAAAGTGATTGTTTCTCCTCTGCCATGGCAGTTGCCAACAGAAGTCAAATTCTTGAAAATTAACATTAGAAATAGACACGTTTTGACATGTCATGTCTCATTTCAAAGACACCAATGAGCGTCACCCGATCTGCTGCAGAGGCACAAAGACCCTGTGTCTCCCAGCTGAACGCAGGCCGGGCTGGGGCGGACGGCAGCAGCTGCTCAGCTTTCAACAGCCCTGCCACATGCATGGGCAGGGCCGGAAATGAGCTCAGCCTCTGGAGAAGCCCGGGGAATGGAAGGAAGGAACGTCGCAGCCTCCATCCTTGCCTTATGGGGCCTTCAGGCCTATGTCTCTTTCCTCCAAAGTGGCAGGGAACCACTTTCCTGTGTTGTGTGCTGCAAGAAGGTGGTGGCTGCAAACGCCTGAAGCTTGAGCCTTTGTGATCATCTCCCTGTGGACTGATTGATGTAGGGCCTGTGGAAAGTTGCTGGACGCTGCTACCAGAAGCGAGGCTGACTGAGACTGACGGGAGTACTTCTCAACTGTCGGGCATCTGGGCTCATCTAACTCAGGGGTTGCAAATGATGGCCCGTGAGTCAGTTCCTGCCTGCGGCCTGGTTTTATAAATAGTTTTATTGGATTATGGCCACACCTGTTCATTTATATAATTGTTGATGGCTGCTTTTGTGCTATAACGGCAGAGTTGAGACAGTCTGGCCCTCAAAGTTGAAAATATTTAATATTTAGTTCCTTAGAGAAAAAGTTTCCTGACTCTTCATTAACTTAAAGTTACAGCCAAAGAGGCCGTCAGGGAGTCTTCTCAAAGGATGGGGGTCTCAGAGATTCAGCCATTAGGGATTTTTCCTCCCAGGCTCCAAACACTCAAGCAACTTAACTTCAGGGAGATTCACCTGAGACCAAATGACTCCAGTAAACATCTCTGATCTTTATGAAGGACCTACTATGTTCCAAGCACCACTTGTGTATTCAGGACACAGCTACTAATAAGGCAGACTGAGTGTCTGCTCTCTTGGGGCTCAGAGCTTGGCACGAAGGATCAATAGCAATTAATGAATAATTTAAGATGGAGACAACCACGATGAGGGAAAGAAACCCAGCTATGTGTGGTCACACCATTCTACATATTTGCCTAGGTGTTCTTTGTCTTTCTCCTCCACTAGCCTATAAGCTCTGTTGTGGCACATGTGGTTTAATTTGTTCACTTCTATACTTCCAAGGCTTAGAACAGTGCCTAGAACACAATAGACACTAAGCAAACATGAACGAACAGATGAATGAATGAATATAAGAAAGTCATCAGATGCAGATGAAGGATCTGGGTGACTTCCCTGACAACCTGATGCTTGAGCCCAAATCTGGAGGAGGAGTAGGGTTTACAGACAAAGGCACAATAGAGGGCGTGGGTGGGGAAAGGCATTCTAGCAGAAGACAGAGTCTGGGTGAAGCCTCTATTGAGGGGAAACATGACACAGCCCAGGCAATGGTGTGAAATGTGGCCCAGAGGTGCCAGAGCCAATGGGGCCTTGTCAGCCACTGCAAGGATATTGATGTTTTTCTCAGAGCGAGTGGCAGCCATTGAAGGTAATGAGGGAAAGGTACAGAGTGATGCGATCAGATTTGCATTCTGGCTACAAGTAGCAAATGTGTTGAGGCTGGGTAAGAATGGAAAAGAAAGGCCAGCCTAGGCCTGAAATCATGGGAAGCTGGATTCAGGAATGACGGTGCAGAGACGGAGCAGATGAGAGAAGCGGACTGATATGGTTTGGGTCTGTGTCCCCACCTAAATCTCATGTCAAATTGTTTTCCCTAGTGTTGGAGTGAAGCCCAGTGGGAGGTGATTAGATCACAAGCATGGATTTCCCCTGCTATTCTCGTGATAGTGAGTGAGTTCTCACGAGATCTGGTTATTTGAAAGTGTCTAGCACTTCCCCCTTTGCCCTCTCTCTCTCTCCTGCTTGCTGTGTGAAGACCTGCCTCCTTCCCCTTCACCTTCTGCCATGATTATAAGTTTCCTGAGGTCTTTGTGGCCATACTTCCTGTACAGCACGCAAAACCTCAAGCCAATTAAACCTCTTGTCTTTATAAATTACCCAGTCTCAGGTAGTTCTTCATAGCAATGCGAGAATGGACTAATACATAGATGTATCCTATTCAGATAATCCAAGAGACATTTAGGCCGAGAACTTGACAGGCCTTGATGTGGCTGGGTATGGAGATGGCAGGGCCAGGGCCAGGGAGGGGTTGAGGATGCCTGCTTGAGTTCTGACTCTTTCAATTGGCAGAAAGAGTCAAACAAGGAGACCAGGTGTTTGACATTATAAACAGGACAGGCTGCAGAAAGTTCCTGGGAGAGGCACCTAAGGCCTGCATTACAGTATTGCCAGCAGATCCAGTCCGTTCTTGCATCTGGGATAGGGATCCTAGGGGCCTGGAAATGCCCTTGAATAGAGTGACCAATGTGCAGCCTCTATAATTAACCAATCTCTGAGACTTTTCATGCACAAGATATTTGAGAGAAACATTGCCAAGCCCTTTAATCGTTCCTTGAACATTCAATCAGCAGCACTGGAAATATTTCTTACATGAAGTAAATAATGATCTCCCACTCTCAGCAATCACTCTGCGAATGCTAACAAGCCTCTGTTTCAGCATGTTGGGTGTAGCCTTGGTGACTTATGTTTCTGGGGTAGTAGGAGAATATTCAACTTGGTGCCAGGCAGCGGTATAGTAGTAAATGTTTAACAACTGGCCCACTCTAAAGAAACACCCAAACCAAAAAGCAAAACCCCAACCAAGACACAACCAGGTAGGTTGCAGTGCTTGCCAATTTCTGTGGTGTAAATACTCCCATCATGGGCGACTGGAATCTAACAAGCTGAGAGATTCCTAAAAATCTAACAATGGGCTCTTGCTACCTGATACTAACTGGCCCCAGCACACCATGGACCCAGATCCTGTTTGTAGTTCACCCCTCACTTGCAGTGTGATCTTCAGCTAGAAGCTTCAAAGTTTTCATCTGTAAAATGGACCAGATTACTGTGAGATTCAAGTGGGTAAAAAGATGTCAGAATGCAGGGAAGTCTAATTTGCTGCAAAGATGCATGCCAATTATCAAGATAATTATCACTTACAGGAAACAGGTCCTTCGGCCAGGATTCTACAGCTGTCTAATTGGTCCCTGTAAAAATATTTAATGAGTTTGACTCAGGCACTGAATGAAGCTTGATGTGTGAGAAACAGAGGGTGTTTCTCTGCTTCTTGCAGGTCTGCATATTTTTGCAGTAAGAAGGATTATTGTGTTCTGTGGCAGTATTGATTCTGAACATGTCTATCTTCTTTTCCTGCTGTCTTTCCCTTCTTTTCTTCCTGCTTTCCTCAACAAAGATACTGAGTGAGTGCTGTATGCCAGGCACTTACCTAGGTACTTTATCCTCAGGAGGTGAGGTCTGTACAGTTACTGTGCCCTTTTAACAGATGAAGGAACTGGTGCCTTTAAGAAACTGGCCCAAGATCACAGAATAAGTGGTGAGCTGGGATTTGCACCTGGGTCTGTGCGTGGGCAAGTCCAGCTGAGGCCCGTGTCTTCACTCAGCAAGTATTTATTGGGGCATGTCGGGAATTCAGAGGTAAAGGAGATGAATTTAATCTCTGTCTCATGGAGTTTACAGTCTTGTGGAAACAGAAGCTAAAAACAAGTAAGTAGTGGAAATAATTTCAAACTTGGTAATTATTACAACAGGAAATAGCAGAGGCTGAAATAGACTGAAGGGAGGCGAGGCCGTTGTGCCCTCCTTTGCCCCCTTTCATCTGCCTGCCTTCCTCTTTCTTCCATCTTTGTTTCCTTCTTCCCTTAAATATTAATACCTACCAAGTAGGAAGAATGCTGCAAATCTGGGAACCAAGAGGTGAACACAGCAGTGCAGGCCCCCACCAGGAAATGCACTGGAGCAGAGTTAGAGCCTGGGGCTGCCTAGACCCAGAGCTGCTGGTATCTTGGACTGCTTCAGGGTGTTAGGGAGACTTCCCAGCCCTTTTGAAGTGAGCTTGCACCTGGCCCAGCCATTTACACATTGCGTTGCCTCAGATAAGTGACTTCATTTCCCTCCTTTTCTGTTTTCCCCTGTATTAAAACAACTAAAAAAAAGGAATGTCTATGCCTGCCCTGCAGGAATTTTGTGAGAATTAAATAAGTGTATGCTTATGATGTCATCCTATGCTTAAGAAATGTTGATTGTGTTGCTTTTCACCCTGTGCTCCAAGGGAGTTCATGGTCTGAAGGTGTCATGGGGCCTTGGTTTTCAGGATCTGACTAACTTAATGGGGAAAATGACTATGTATTTTATAATGTGTGGATATTAAAAAAAATAAAGTTTGCTCCCTAGGGAGGATTTGCCATTCCCATGTTGGTAGGTCCCCCAATATTGTTCCCCTTGGAATTCATGCCTCATAAAATCATTTGATCTGGTGGCATCTCATCTTCTTAATGTATCTGCCCAGCAGCTGTTCCCAGGAGGCTTTATTAGGGCAGCGTGTGTGTGTGTGTGCGTGTGTGTGTGTGTGCATGTGTGTGTGCGCCAGTGCCATGAGTACTTATTATTGTTATTTAAAGTATCTCCATGTAACCACAATTTACTGTAGCTGCTATGCACTCGTTACCCATGTTATCTGGAATCCTTCCTGCAACCCTTAGAGGTGACTCTTATTCTCAATTTTATATATAATGAGAAGTTCTGAGTGGTGAAGTCTTTTGCTCAAAGCCACATGGTCACTGAGAACTGGGACCAGGGTTTGGATCCATGCATTTTTATTCCTGCGCATGTTTGTTTTCCTCTGTGTTGCACTTGTATATAAATCTTCCTTTCCCATTTGTATGTAAAAACTTTTCCTTTGTCTATTTTGTTCTCTAGCTCACTTAATGTCAACATAGCTGCCTGGGATGACCTCTTTTTTGAGTTCCTTGTGTCTCAAAGTAGGTCTGGGCCCTGGACCTCCTGTCTGGGTTACTGATTGCAGCATTCAGGACTGGGTTAGCCCAGGGTCATTTGTGTTCTTTTTCGCTACGTCCTTGCTTTTGACCAGGGCCGAACAACCCACCTACACTGCATGGTTCCCCCAGCATAACATCCCAGTGAGAATGGCCCACAGATGCCTAGGTATGGCTCACCTGAAGCTTCAACCATGCAGACACATTCTCCGGCAGTTTCCCGCTGGCCACTGAGTCCTTCAGTTGGATGGCATTCTTCCCCACAGGTGCTAAGAAACCTTGTTGCCTAAGCCAGTGCTTCCTGCAAGCTACAAGCTAGTCTTTGTAATGTTTTCCCCAAACAAAAAGAAAAAAGAAATAGACAGCCTGTAGGTATATAGAGACACATGGATCTATACTGCATGGCAACTGGATTGAATCTAACTTGAAGTTTATTTTGTCTTACCAGACCGGTGTTTTTTCCTTTTAAGTGCCTTTAGTGAGGGTTGCCATTGATTCAGCAAACACATGTTGAATGCTTACTGTGTACCCAGCTCCATTTTCCATACTGGCCACAGAGCAGCCAGAGCACAGCCTTTGCCCTCCAGAGCCCGTTCTGGTGGATGGACACTCCTTCGACAGGCTCCTCACCACTCTGTGTACAATCCCGCCACTCAGTGCCCCTGCCCATTTGTGCATTTCCTCTTTGGTTAACTCATTCATTTAACAAATATTTACTGGGGAGCAGAAGTATTTACTGGGAGAAAAATATCTCAAGCACAGTGCTCAGCACTGGGGGAGCCAGTAGTGATTAAGAAAGGCAGGATTGCCTACCCTCACGGAGTTTGTGTTCTCATAACAGAGAAAGACAGTAAACAAGAAAAATAAATACGGTAGTTTTGCATAGTGATAATGCTATGGAAAAATGTTCAAATGGCATAGAAGGATAGGCAGTGTTGTTCTGGGCTTGTCCACCACCCTCTCTTGGGATAGAGAATTCTTTGTTCAGATGGAATGGCCTGTCTATCGTGCGGAGGTGAAATGTGCTACCATGTGCGAAATGAAGTTGGTAATACACAGATGGCATTTTTGTCCTTCCTCATAAAGTGTTGTTGGTGAACTTTTGTCAATCTCTACTTGTTTGTGTTGAAACTTTGCTGTTGAGAATTTACAAATATGGCAGCCAGTGATTTAGACCAGGGGTAGGAATCCCTTTTCTGTAATGGGCTATGGAGTAAATATCTGGTTTCCCTTGCAACTATTCAGTTCTATCAGTGTAGCATTAAAGCAGCCACAGCCAGTATGTAAACAAATGGGCAGGGCAACAAAATATTATTTACAAACACAGACAGAGCTAGATTTGGCCCTCAGGCTGCCGTTTGCCAACCCCTAATCTAAACCAGTAGCTGCCTTACCAATTGGTCAGACTTGTACAAGACAGGGATAGGGCAGAGCCCAGAGAGGGGGACCAGGGATTCTTTTTGGCTTTAGTTGCCATGAAAATTGTGGTACTTCTTTAGGGTCACATATTACTAGATTATTTGCGTTAACAATGATGAAGGTAAAGATGCTGGGTGTCAACTGTGGAACATAATTCTCAGACTAGCTCTAACTTAGGAATAATTTAGCTTTGTAATGATTATCTGAACTTCAATTTTTAAGGTACTCTTGCAACCCAAAGGTGTCTTGGAGTTGAACACTCTCTTGGACTGAATTCCTCTAAAGAAATAGAGACACAGAATTGGGTTCAGGGAACGAAGTTTCTCAGGGCCCATAAGTGAGCGAGAAGGAGAGTGAGACAAAGGAGGAGGAAAGCCAGTAAACCAACAGTGAATGTACCATGGAGCTGGTTACAGTCATGGGAAATGGGCTCATTGCTGCTGGGTGTCTGCAAAAGGACTGTGTAAGCTCATTTCAGAATGGCCCCTCTACAGAATAGGTGGCTAGGGGTGTATTCGCCTGCCCTTATCTTCTGCTGGTCAGGTATGATCCCTGCCATCATTAACTTCTCTGTGCTTCCCTACTGAGCCTTTGCTGTTGGGGGAGCAGCCATGACTTTGAAAGCGTCATAGCAGAAAAAATAGAAAGGTATGACAAGTTGTTGGACTGTCAGTATATGCCTTGGGTAGGGCAAGAATATATGAGATTTCCCTGGCCCCCATTATGCATTACTGGAAATTTCCTCAGCAGAGCTAATGGGACCAGAGTTATGGTGGTGGTAGTTTTTAAAACCTTCCGAATTGGGCTAAGCACCCACCTGCAGATACTCTCTTTCCCACTAGATGGTATCAGTATGCCAAAGCCCTAGAATGCTACCTTAGGGCCTCATCCTTGACATGTGCTATATTCTCACTACTTTTCAAGAGTGAAGGAATAAGCCAGTGAGGTCAAAGGGATGAACTATGGGTGTTTAGGGAAAGAAGGTTGGAGAAAAGTGAAGACTGTCTGAACAGTTACCCTCATTTACACATTCAGTAATTTATCAACAAATACTACCATTGACTGAGTGCTCAGCACTTTTCTGGGGACCGGAATACAGAAGTGAATAATACAGACCAGGCCCCTGCTGGTGAGCTTACGTACTGAGGGAGAGACAGTACCAAAATAAACAGGTAGGTAGATAATGTCTGCGGGAGGATGATGAGTGCCATGGAGAATGAGAAAGGAGGAAAGGGAGTAGGCAGTGACAGGGAGAGGTCGTGGTGCTTGCCTTTTCTCCTGGCTGTAGGGTGAGGGATATTTCCATCGGCTTTTTAAACCCGGTTCTTCCATTCACCAGCAATTTGTGACCACCCCATGTGGTTTATTTTTGAAATGAGACTAACAGCTCATGGAGTTGAAAAAAAAAAAATGGTGCTTGGCAAATGGGTGTTGACTCGTCAGAGCCCATTGCAACCTAACACCCAACTCCCTGGACTGTTTGTTGGCTGATTTAATTCTTCTGGAATAATTCTGAATTGCTATTGTTGTTGACACACAATAGAGTTGCATTTAACTCGGAGGTTAGACTATAAAGTCGGGGTTTAAGGCAAACACAGAGTTGTCATTAACCTTGAAATCTTTTAAGTTGCCAATTAAAGTGCAGTGGGCATGGTTTTGTGTATGCATCCCTGTATTGTAAACAATATGGAACAGTGTGTAATGCATGCAGTAATGTATAGAGCTTAGTAAAGAATATATGCAAGATATAATTTGATAGCATTTAATTGCAGTATTTACGTTGTTCTTTTTCTTTCTCTTTTTGGTGGAAGAGCTGGCTTTCCATTATTTAAATGTGCATACGATGAGACTTCACTATATTCATTGAAGCCAGATTTCTAATCATACAATCTCCACCAGGCTGTGCATTAAACAGGAAAAGACCTCTTTTCTCTGTTGTGTTCTGTTTATTTTAGATTCCCACTACTAGTCAGATGCTTTGGGGCAGGGGAACTGTGGAATAATAATAGAAGCAATGGCAG